TTTTTTTTTTTTTTTCCATAATACAAATGTGGTCCGAATAACGGAAATTTTGCAATAAAAACATATAGAAGCAGAGCGAACCATAATCGGTAAACATATTTCAAAAAAACTGACATGCATGTTGAATTTACTACTAAGAACGATATGTACAAGCACATATGAAACATACACTCATTCCAATTTATTCATGACAGTAGAAAGGATTTCAAAATAGCACTTCGCGTCACATCCTATTTGTTCCAAATGTTGCATCAATTTGGATGATACAGTGTTGCCAGACGGGTAGAAATCCATTAAAGATCTATCACAGTAAGCAAGTCTAAAATTTATTACTGCTTCAAGTAAGTTTTTAAGAGATGATTTATTTCTCTGGCATCCTACTACATCATCAAGACAAAAATAAATAAATTAATTCATGGTAAAATATAAGATTTTCCCTCACTGGAAGGAAATCAACAGCATTTTTCACAGATATCACCTACCAAGATTCCAGAAAACAATATTATATGTCATCCTGATAAAAGGAAAGAAGCTGTTCATTTTAAAATCTGTGCCATTAGTTTAAAAAAGCGAAAACGTACAAGCGAAAAATGACGACAACTGCTAGGTCGCATGTCTTCCCTTCAAGAAAAACATTTGTTGCAGACAGTTGAAATGTGGAAATAATCTCTAAGGCTTGTTGCCCACATCCATTTATACTTAATCTTTCCTCCAAAAGTCGCCAGCTATAAATGAAAACACAAAATGTGCAAGAGAATTAATAGATCACACATTTTTCTCCGCATCATGTATTTTTAATTTCACGATTTTTAAAGCAAAAAAAAGTACCCATTATGTAATAGGAAACTTAGAAATTATTAGATGCATATATTAGCTTTTTGGAAACGAGTCCTTCCACATGTCATAAAGTTCATGGAAAGGACTCCTTCCACACGTCATAAAGTTCGTAATAGTGTTCTCTGGGAATTTATTTTTTTTTTGCCAATACTAACATCCTGGTCTTTTTTTTAAAGCAGTTAGTAAAGCAATTACTTACACAAAACACCTAAAAAAGAGAAAAAAATGAGGTGGACATGAGCTTACCTTGGCCTTAGTAACTCAGCCAGTACTGAAATTCGCTGTTTTGCTTGATCAGCATTGCCAACTGGGGGCAGGAACATATCTCCTTCAATCATTTTGCTAATGGGACGATCACTTTCATAAAACTGGGCAATTATGGGTCGTGCTTTAGCAACTATCTCATTTCCACTTTCCAGCAAATCCATCCTACGGCGATATTGCAAATAATAAATCGTTGCTGGACCACACCATTCTCTTGAAAAATTAAGGAAATGGAGTCCAATTATTTTCACTTTTATCTGCAGTAAAAAAGTAAAAAGTCAGAAAATTCAGATAAGTTAAAAATTGGACAATACTGAAATTTCACTTGTTAGAAAAATAGTAACTTACGACAGTTTTTTCTCAAAATCTTTACAGAATTTCTCTGGAACTTTGTCACTAGACTGTGAAGTAAGTGGTTTGGCTTTAATTATTTTCGGGCATCGTTTGAGTTTAGTCTGATGATACTTCTTCCGTATGCGAGCTAATTTTTCACTTTCAGAAAGTTGCTTATTCTCCTTCTTCGCCTAAAGTTCAAAAACACATAATGTATGACATTAAAACAATATAAGTCATCGCCAACTAAACAGAATTAGATTTTTTCTCCTTCAGATTCTTCTAACTCAATCAAATTTGACGAACTGTTTCTATCTTCATTTTCGTGACGGTTTCATCTGTAATCCTTTTAACTGTGGGCACAACTGTACTTTCTTCAGTGCTAGGAAGTGCAGGCTTCATCGTAAGATAAGATTGACAAAGACTATAAAACTCTTCATGGGAATGATCCCTTTTTTCCTCCGTATTAATATTGATTTCATCATCATTATTCTCAGCATCAGATTCCGCGGCATCACCAATCTGAAAAAAAAGTTAACTGAAGTACAATTCAGCGATAAAAATGATACTTAATTGACAGAAAGAAAAACTCACTTCTGTACTTTTAGCAAACTGTAGTCTTTTTGCTTCTTTCTCGACTAATGATTTTTTGCCTAGTTACAGTTAATGAAACAAAGAAATGATTGTTCGTGAAGATTATGAAGATTATAAAGTTTGAATGTTAAGTCATTTTCAAATCTATACGCTATGCATGCATTAGAAAAAACTTTTACATCAAAGTGAAGAAAAATACGTCATAAAGAAAGTATAAGAGAACCAGTAGTGTTCATGATTATAACAAAAAATCAAATAACAACTATTACAAAGAAACTTCGCATAATGAAGAGAAAGTTGAATTCTTACTTTCAAAATTTCAAGTGATGTTATCAGCTGTTGATTTTCATTAAATTCAAAGTCAAAAATGTCCTGCTGCTGTTGCCTGATGTTTCCAGCGTTCAAATCAAATATCTTTACTGACAAAAAAGTATTTCTTATTATAAGAAATAGAAATTTATTTACTTTAGCACTACTATTTCAACATAGTATTATTTATTTTGAATTATTTCTTTTAATTGTTAATTATATTTCTTATCCAGGTCTCAGGTCACTGCAGCTCTTATTAAAAAAATTTGTTTCAAAATAATTCAAGCGGTTTATAGAATAATAATAATTAAGGCCTCATCTGATAAAATATGGCATGAAAACAATTCATTTAAATTAAGGAAGCCCTAATCCACAGAAAATTCAAATTGTGCTAAATTATACGAACAAAAGCATTGAAATTTACCTCGTTCATCGCCTCTTATCCATAACGGTTCTAATTCTAGCTGTGCTCGTATTGCAACAGAACATAAAAAACAATCTTGGCAACAAAATTTATCAATTTCAGCAGACCTTTCGAACACCTGCCAGAAAAATCAGATGTTAAAAATTTAAAGACTATAAGATACTTAGTTTATCCACTATGTTGTCACCGGTACATATCTTCTTTGTTATTAGGCAACTAGATTTTTTTTCAGCTTCTATGATCTTACGTTTACTTCCACCACAAAGACGTGTAAGCAGATTCTTCGATTCGCCTAATTCATTAGTAATTATTTCTCACTTGAAAATGAGTGACTTAGCACAGGATGAAAAACTTAGAAGCAAATGTCTCACGATGAATTAAATGGTGAACATCAAAAGTCTATGTTCGAATCTTAAATGATATCTTAACTGCATAAAATGTTTGTTAACAGGATCGAAAAACCCTTACCTTCTTATTTTTTAAGTCGATCCGATACTTTTGCGAATTCTTCACTTCTACAGGATTAGTACAGAGCGGGAAACCACACACTCGACCAAGATAACGTTCCTCGACCACTTCCATCCAACTGCTTTGATCCAGACTGTTCAGCTGCAAGTTAGCCTTCTAGCATTAGAACGAAATTTGTCTAATGAATCTTTGCATAAAGACATTGAGAGACACAACCTTGGCAATAAATACAAAGTAAGTACCATTTTTTGCAGTGTTGCTTCGACTACGCATTCTGACAATGTAACAATGGCATTGTGAACAGCGTTACGTAATCGTCGCTCCTTGGCCAAACGGTCAACTTCCTCCTCCTTGGCTTCTGCTTCCATATACCTCTACTTAACAAACTGCAACACACGTTTTCACGATGCGTCATATACATCACAACGCATTTCATCCTTTCGACCAGCCTAGGCCGTATAAAGACCTCCGTTTTGAGAAAGCTCATCGGGGTTTTGTTTTCTGTCAGTGTTCTCGGCAATTGAGGCTAAAGGGAATGTCAGGTCTCCATAATGGGTAGACGATAAGGATCAGAAAGATCATATCCTGGGGATGGATGCTGAAGTGTGGCTAGAAAATAAAGGAAAATCATTTACACTTCTGTTATTCTTAATTGTTATTCTTATTTTTTTCAGTATCAATACACTCTAAAAGAGGCAGGATGAGGTCAGTGAAACATGGAAGACGAAGAACTCGCCGACGCATTAATTACAGTAAAAGTTTGGTTGCTGCTAAAAAGAAAGCAGTGAAAAGACGAAAAGCTATGGATGGCATAACGTGGTAACGTCAAATTTTCACTAAAATTGCTCAAAAATTAAGGATTTTTTAGAATTTTTTTGGATCCAAATTACTTGAAACAATATTTCCATGTGTGATCGCTAATGGGTAACACGGTCAATGCTAAGCGATAACAATCAGTGTCCTAGATCTGTAACACATTGATCAAAAATAGTGAAAACCTTAAAAGATTTCCATTAAAATTGCCTAGAACTAGAAACTAGTGGATAATTTGATCTGGATTAGGTACTTTCTCCTTTCTCTCTCCTCTCCACCAGCTCTAAAAAGATGAGTATAATTTTGTAAAACAGGGCGATCATCCTTATCTTGAGACTACCTCCATATTTTGAGCTGAATTCAGGCCCAATGTTGAACACAAATTCACTATTTACCGTTAGTTTCTTGCTTCAGTAACGTTTTTTTATTGGCACCACATTGATTCTGGTGCTGTTCATATATTCTCTACACTGTAATGAATTTGAGCATTCTGCTATCATCGTCAGATTACATATTTCCCCCTCGTAGGTCATTAGACCTTCAGTGTTTCCTGTTCATTTATTGAACGAATTGCAGTAAACAGATGCGGATAGCTTGGGATAAGAATGCAACAATCAAGCAGAATATGAAAGCAATGGGACTTGCTTATGACTCAAACAAATTGTTTCCTTTACGTCCAGGCATTGTAATTCTTTTCTCTCTTGTAATGAACTAATTTTAAATATTCACTTTATTCTTTCACCCTAGGGGAGCATTTGATGTACGGTCACTGGTTTTTTAATATGCAAATATTCAATTTTTGCATATTTATCATATTTCGATTTCATAGTAATGCATTCTTTTGTAGAACAAGCACTGTGAAGAAATGGAAGTTGACGAACCAAAACTGTACGGTTCGGTTAAATCCCAGATGCCAAAAACCGTGAGTTTCTGGGTCTAAAAATTTTTCGTTTAACGCATATTATTTCGATTATTTCATTGGAAATTTTCGAAGGTAATCTTAACGTTAGATCAAATTGAGAGCCTAAATTTAGGTGTTTTATCCGACTTCAAAGTTAATTGCAGCGTAATTATTAGAAAAGTCGTGAGTGAGACTTGAATTATTCAAGCTCTTTTTACGATTGACTTTTAGATCTCTGAACTTAATTTCTTCGGAATTTATTTGAATTACCCAGATTTTGAGAATTTATAGAAATCAATCAGCGATGAAGAGAAAATCGTAAAAGTGATTGCCGCTTTGGAAAAGGAGGTTGAGGAGGAAGAAGCAAGACAGAAAAAAGGACGCACATATCGCTTACTTGCTCGAGATATTGAATTTTGTGTTTACATGATCGAGAGGCATGGCGATCATTATGAGGCAAGGAACCTTCCGATTGATACTTCCGTTCTGTTCGATTAAAACTTCAGTAGTTCTTCTTTACGAGTTTGTGAAAACTTAATTATAAAAAACTTAGTTATGTTTTTCATACCTCTAAAATTTTTCGTACTAACATTTATTTGAATTTGATGCGATTTTTCGTCCATTGAATTCCATCATTTTGAAGCTTTAAAAGGCTTAAAGTTTATAATGCTTCAGAAAATGAGCCACGATGCAAGGAATATTTATCAGGATACACCGAAACAAATACAGCGAAAAATTCGTATCTTCAAGCAAAGTCCAGAATATTCAATGTATCTAAAACTTATGTCACAGGTCACATAGATTGTTGAACTGGGATTTCTGCCACAGATTATCAAATTGAATTTAACTTTCTGAAAATACGCAAAAAGTGGACTTGTGAACACTGTAGCCCGACTATATATCCGTGCTAATAAATATCCGTACTTAAATGAGTTTTGATTTATGTTTTTTATTTTTTGAAATTTCTACAATTTCTTGGCGAGAGTTTCATTTTCTGCTTATTGGTGTATTTAAAAAATTTTTGTGAGCTCGAAATATTGATATGAACAAAAGTTTTATGGTCAAATACAGTAAACATTCAATCCAGAAAAGAAGATAGCGGTATCATCTGAAAAACGTAATTCCGATGCGAAGTTTCTATTATTCCTTGAGAGAAAAACATAGAATGTAGTCGATCGAAATCGTCAGCTAAGCTTAACCTAACGGTAAACGAGTTAATTATTGATTTGGCTTTTTTATTTTGAGGTGTAACGTCCAAAAGAATCTATGGTTGATACTTCACTTTGTTTGGTGGTTTCCAAGCTACTTTTCTGTAGGGCCTTAGTGCTCATTGGCGACTATTGAAGTACAGAAATATCTCACTTGAAAAGTAGTGCTACTATTTTTTCTTTTGAGAAGTTCGAAATTTTGGAGGTTAGGATGCATTTTTTGGATCAGATTATGAGTTCAGAAGAGATTTTACAAAAAATTTACAAAAAAAGTTATGCATATGTAATTACTATGGATTCATTGTTTGATGGCCAATCGGTTTGTTTCGAGTGGTGGTAATTGCTGCTGGCAATATAAGTGTCATGAAGCTTGCTGAGATTCAAATCCAATGGATCCAAATAATCACATTTTGACTCGTCTGATGGAGGATCTCGATCCACAAAATGGCCACTTCGCTGTTTCGAGCGACCGGAAAATGCAGAGTATGGTGTTATGTGCACGACGATCTGTGTATGAGATACCCGAGAAATCTTTAATTTTTGAAGTGTTCCAATTCTCTATTCAAATGTTTCATTTTTTGGATCAGATTATGAGTTCAGAGATTTTACAAAAAATTTCCGTGAACTCCAAAATTCCAGTACACTAGCTGTTTTTATGGACATAGTGGCATTTTCCTGAGTGGTAAGGGAGGAAGTGTCATTGGGAAGCCTGTAATTAAGATCATAATATTCTCGGAATAACTCTTTACGCTCACCAGACATCCAGTTAAATTTCCTGTTTGGTGCTCGACTTTGTTCTGATTCCCTGATATCAGCCTTACGTGATGGAAATTTAGAAATTGTGTTTACTGTGGGACTTGAAATTCGGGCATACACTTCGCTGCTTTCGTCTGAAATATTGCCCGGGAGAGATTACATTTTTACTGATTTCTTTCAAATTCATTGAGTCATATTGCATTTAACCAGTTTTCATTGCCACTCCTTCTCTGCACAGCATTCTACACTTGTTATACCCCATTTAATCTTACATTTACATACAGAAGTTATGGTCATCAGCGATCACTAATTAAATATTTTGAAGAGACTCTAAAAAATTAGAAACTCCAACATGAATGAAAATTTCAACTTTTTGGAATTTAGAATTACAACCTATATCTCTCGAAATTAATTTAGAATATCAATTTGGAATTATAGTTCAAACTTGTTTTTTACACAAATTATATAGGCTTTTTTCCATAAATTATATGTCAGTTGTGTTGAGAGCTGAACACAAAGCTAACTGAAAATGCGATTTCCTAATTTGAATAATTTCCTACACCAATATTTGCATTGTACAGCTAACCATTTGAGAGAAGCTTACTGAAAGTGAAATTGGTGATAAAAGCGCAGCATTGCTCCAAAGGAACTCTTTTGTTTTCAACCAACTAATAATAATTGAATTTAACATTGCGATACATTTGGCATCGAAGCCCAGTTTTATAGGCTTTGGAATGATTCATTCGTAGCAACCTCCCATTACAACATTTAAGTGTCAATGTCCCGTGAAATAAATTTCTGTCCGAAACTTTGTAACAGAACCCTTATTAAAGACAGTTAAATTTATTTGCTGTTAGTGTCAACGAAAAAATTGTGACATTGGAAATAAGTGAAAGTCACCATATGATTGAAGTCATTTCACCGAAGAAATCTGATAGAGAATTTTCTGTTCAAGGTTTGAAATGCATTTGATTTCAGGATTAAGTAAACATTAATAAAATTGGTCATCTTAAGTCATTGTATATTCTTCTTCGTATATTACATTTTCTTGCAAACACACAATTTTCATGAGTTTAATATACCTCAGATATATTATAACATAAATATTTCTAGTGAGTTGTTTACTTTATCAGTCCAGGAATATTATGCCTTAGTTCAAAATAAGTGATTTAGTTAAACATTGAATTTCAGCGGTTAAGATTGTTATTACTGTAAGGCAAGGCATCGTAAAGAATAGCTTTCCGTGAGAGATTTTCAAAATATGCAAATTACTGCATGCTAGGAAGCGTAAAAGAACTGGAACTGGAAATGCTATCAGGCGAAATTGCTATCCTCCAAACCCTTCATTATCAGTAACTTTGCACAGTACAAAGCTGTTCAACTTAGCTACTTTATATTCAGAAAAATTACACACCGAATGCGTTAATCGGTTTGGCGGTTTTCGGTCGAACGATAATGGAACGTCTGGTAGGACGCAATTCATTTTTTGAAATTAGAATACAGCATAAGATTACGATTGATAAAGTTAGAGTTGCGGCAAGAAATGCAGCAATGATCCACACATGAATCCACATTCAACTGTGCTCAATAAAATAAGTAAATAATAGCAAAAAGGAGTGAAAATTAAGCAGTTGAATTTAAAGTTTCGTCATCGAATACATGAGTCATCTCCTCTTGCGGTTAATATATTTCCTTTTTTTTCCTGAAGTAATGAACGAATTTCCATGAAATAAGTCAAAAACAAACCAGGTATTGTCGTACACAAAATGTTATCTAAGAGAAATAATCAATTGACACGAAAAGGAAAAGTATTTACCTTCCCTCAGCTAAAAGACAACACTCATCAAAAGGCAAAAGATGGGTTCCTTGCTCTTATTAGCTGAGCATGTTCCGGTTTCTGCTCAGTGACAGTGCTTGCTTAAGTAAAGAATTACTATGTTAGAAATGAATATTATTAAATGTTTAATGTAGTAGTAGCAAATATAAGAAGGATTCAAATCCACCTGAAATCCGACCTATCAAAAGTACAGTTTAATTTCAATTTTGAATTTAAAAAGTGAATTGTCCATAACATATTGACCTCGTAGCGTATTCTTTTCTTTTTTTTCTCTTTCTCTCTCCCTCTCTCACTCTTCCTCTCCTTCTCCTCTCAATTCTCAAATACTGCCTCATCATAAATTTAACCAATCACAAACCTTTGTCTACTCAACAAACTATCCAGTCCAAGAGCTTTCTCATCTATCTCAACTTACATTTACGTAAATAAGACAGGGGATGATTCACTGAAAGCTTTCTTCTCTTAGTTAACAAAGAATTTTGCATATCGCTTAAAGTTCAAACACAGGAAAAACAAAAACTCCGGCAACAGCTGAGGGAGAGTGATAAACGAACGTATGGTATCAAACAATTCAAATATTGTAAAAGTTAAGTTAAGGTATCAAATAAATAAAGATATTTGAAATCAAGAGAGATGGAAAAGAATGAAAGGGCGAAAAGGGAAAGAAATGATGCCAAAAAATGCAAATTGCCCCGATACTCCTCCGACTACAATTTCACTTGTAGTACAATGATTTGAACAAAGATGATTGATTCAGTTCCATTTCCTGTTTAATCTTGAAATATGCATAGAGCGGTACATTGTAAGGAGATAGAATAGATATGGGGAATGACGTGATTTTACAGTCCTGTGTAGAGCAGAAACAATAGGTTGGCTTTTGATCAACAATAAAATTAGCTTTGCTTCATTATTTATTCATTTCACCTTGAAAACAATGGGATTAATTAAAATATCAAATGTAGCCATTCAAAAGGATAGTGTAGTCTTAGAAAGAAGCTTAAGATTTATTGACAGTGACGAAGGGGGAAAACATAACAACTAACAAATTCTGATATATATGCACAGCCTTTAATTGTCGATAATATTACTTCAGTACTTTTGAAAGATACTTTAAATTTCAACGACCTGAGCAGGTACTATCTCACTAAAAAACCTATATTTATCAGAATATTTCAAAGTCAGACCTGGCTTTTTGGATTCTTACATTCTTATCTACCAAGTTTTAGATCTTTTGGATCTCTAGGCAGTTATAAATATTTCGTATTTCACATGTTGTATATACAAAAAAAACGCCCTAAATAAAATTAAACTTCCATCAGAGTTGAATTTCTGTCAAGTAGATCTCATATGTCTTACATACTGAAGCTTCTTTCATTTTAAAATTTATGACTTTTATGAGCAAAATTTTGTTCATATATTTTTAAATTTTAAATAATCAAAGTTTTTAATAGATCAAATACACTTACAATATACTTATATTGGGTGGGAAAAAAAATCTTTTGATAACAAACTGCTTTCATTTGTAAATACTTTACCATCATTTGCTTTCTTTTTTTTAAAATATTCAGTTCCTTTCAGTGTATCATTATATCCTCTTAGTAGAATATATTGTAAAATAAATAGTTTTATGCATAAATAAAACAGTTATTGAAAGAGCTCAATGGCAAATGGTTTTTAAAAACTAACTCTCTGTTAGTGTAAATTAAGAATGGAATTTCGAGAGAGGTTTTGTTTTAAAATAAAATAATAAAGGAATAAATCCGCAAATGGATATTTTTTGAAGTTAAAAACAACAAAGTAAAGAGTGAAACTTTATGGTCCAGAAAATGAAAGAACCATCCATCCACTCAAAATAGCAATCAATAAACGATGAATGGGTCTGTCTGTCCACCTGTCTACTTCATTGTCTCCTTCCCTTCCTTTTTCTGGCTATTTACACTTAAAATTTTATGCACCATCTAACATATTTCGCAAGCATTCTTATAGTGCTTTCATTTTGGTAAGAAAATTTACCACAACATAATTTCGTACTGTTTACCAAATGAAATGATTATTCATTTCTTTACATCATCATCACCTTCTCTTCAATTCAGGATCAAACCACTCAGCATGAAATGGCACAATTAATTTGACAGGTTCAATATATACCTGTAGCAGTTGATATGTTCAAATTTACTGCAACTTACGCTTGAACAGTCCGACACTTGAACAGTTTTATACGTATTCCAATAATAGCATCCTTTAATTATGTATCCTTATACATTATTTGTATAATTACAACGCATAATAATTATTCATCATTGTGAACTCCTTCACTATAATTTTGCTTTGTATGGCCTGGGAAATTAAATTGAAGAGGTGAAAAAAGTTCAAATTATATTCAAGCTCTAACCAAGCACTAGCTCCACATACAGTACTTCGTAACTTGAAGAGGAAACAGAAAGGCCTATAAATTTACTCGATTACTTTTTGCACACTAATTTACTTAGTGATTACCCAGTGATGTAATGAGCATTCTGCTGGATCTTTGCAAAACTTTCAATTAAAAAAAAGTCCCTTTTTCTGAGAAAAACAAATTTTTTAAAACAAAAACAGATGAAAAGAAAATCGAAATGCAAAATTTCGATTTTATGCTTTTGTTATGCAAAAAATAAATCATAAACTACAGCAAAGTACGACGATAAAGTTTTGTTCGTCTTCTCCGAATTGCACTTATTCGAACTTCGTGTACCAATTCTTAGATTCTCACGAAATGCGAAGAACTTCCGAAATTCGAGTTTAATGAGAATTTCCAAGGAACAAGTGAAATTCATATCCCATGGTTTATAATATTATTTGTTGCAAACCATGATTTAAAGCTTCAACTTGACAAACTACTAATCAATCGGATATTCTGAAAACATTTGATTCACATCGTTTGCTTTTTCTAGAATTATCATTTAATTCTAACGAAAATCCAGTACCGTAAGTGATGTCAAAGATATCGCCATACCGAAAAAAAAAAAAAGTTAAATTCTTGCTTTATTAACGATCTCTTTTATTAATATTGGATTTATTAACTTTTAAAATTTATTAATAGCGGATTTATTGACAATTTCTAGAAGAATTATACCAATTTACTATTACATTCTCTTAATTTATTGCTTATATGGTTGGTAGAATAGAATATTTGATTACTTTTTCTTCTAGGATTACAATGACTTATTATCCTACACATTTTTTTGCGAATTTTGTCTTCTTGGATTTCCTTTTTTTACGAAAACTTTGCTTTGTTTTTACTTGACCAGACAACTTTATCCGCATACATCCGTACAATATTTTCGTGCAGTTTTAGTAAGTCGTTGTTTTATTGTCAGAGAATCTGGACATTTTTGTATGAAGTATTTCTACGCTACACAGCGCAGATATTGTTTTTTAAACAACAAAAATTAGTAGATACAAATTGCGCATTCACTTTTGAGCAATGGGGAAAGAGCTCCTTCAGATCGAACAAAATGCTTCATTCAGATGCTTTCCTTCATGCTGATAATAAAAAGAACTTTTTATATGAAATTGTTGAAAATATCAGGAAGCGTTTCCTGTATTTGCAACTTTTTGTAGAATGTGGCGTGAAATGACAATTCGTTGTATTTGACTTGTACCTTCATAAATTTGATAGATTTTCGCATCACGCATCAGTTTTTCCACTGGATATTCTTTGTTGAATCCATTAGCTACAGAAAAAATTTTGTATGTTTCCCGCAATCAAACCTATTTTTTCTTGTCGAGTCGAAAAAACAAATAGAATTCTTAAAATAAATGGATTTTAAGATAATTTCATTAAAAATAAACCTCCAAAAATCTGCACGGCATTGGATACAGCGATGTTCGCACTATCAGCAGCAAAACATTTAGCAACCGAAGCGTAATACGAAAAGCATGCTTTATTGCTGATAGCCATCGCAGCACGGTATGTGACTAGCCGAGCAAGTTCCAGATTTGCTGCCATGTCCGCCAAAATGAACGATATTCCCTGATTCTAAATAAAGAGGAAATTGTGATCAGCAAAAGCGAAATAACGTAGCACTAATGCTCCGTCTATTAGACTTCTCAGAGATGCTAGCCAACTAAAATCTGGTTTGATTGATCAAACCTTTAACATTGCACCATCAACAATGTTTGAAAACTTTTGAACGAAGAAAGCTGAGTAAATACCGCAACAATTGGCGCTCCGAATGCTTTCCTTTCTAGCGCATATTTGCATGCTTCATCGAGAGCACGCCACGACAGTCCGACGGCTCCAGCTGCAACAGCAGGACGGGTCATGTCAAATGCGCCCATTGCTATTTTGAAACCTGCACCAAGTGTACCGAGAATGTTCTGAAAAAATCTTATACAATTGCTACAATTGCAGTTAAGTAAAATCTCAGATTCTGAAGCACAACCAACTCATTCCTGAAATTTCTAGTTTCCTTTCATTTATTTTACCTGCATCGGGACTACAACATCCTCAAATATTATTGTTCGTGTGTCTGAGCACCGTTGTCCCATATTTCGCTCCTGGAATGGCTGATGCTTAATAATTTTTTAGAAAATTAATTAGATTACTTTCAAAATCTACTATTTACTTATCAGAACAGAACAATACATCGTCTCTTTTGCAAGTTGTATGTGTAGCAAGAAATTTTACCTTTTTCCCTCTACTGATTCCTTTAGTATCGCCATCAACAATAAACGCAGTGAATGCTTTTCCTGGTTGTACTTTTGGGTCTGGATCCGTTCTTGCCAGTACGAAGAACCATTTTGCTGGTCCGCCACCAGTTATCCAAGCTTTGATACCATTCAACACATACGAATCCCCTCAAAATCTGATCCGTTGCACTCTTCGTGACTTTTTCGAGCAATTCACATACGCTTTTTGAATTTAGCATTTTAAATCAACTCATTTTGATTTTTTGTAATCATGCCGGTACTGTTCCCATTAATATAAACAACTCTACTTTTATATCATCAACAGTATACCTTTCTTTTCCGCCTTCATTTTAATACCTGAAACATCAGAGCCCGCAGACGGTTCCGTAACACAGTAACCCTAAAAATTTCGTAAATAGAAATCTTACGGAGACGATAAAAGAACAGAACGCTAATTTGCATTACTGCAATTTCATTGGTAATATAATTTCATTTTTTTTTTTGAAAATTCTAAAACCGATTAAATAATGCAAAAAGTTTGCATATCACGATTCGCATTAGAGGAGTCAGCCACTGATTTTCATGGCGTGCTGTCAAAAAGCATCTAAATCGACGTTCCCTAATATCGAATTTTTTTTTTCAAATGCTAAATATTTCGTCTTTTCTATCCCGTTCCTCACTGCCTTTCTCATTTCTTGAAGAATTACTGCAATAACGGGTTCCGCGGCAAGCATTCCTAAATACTTTTTTTTTGCTCTTCGTTTCCAGCTATAATAAGAGGCGCAGCAGCTAATGATGGTCCCATGATGCAAAGTTGAATAGCGGAACAACCATAAGACAACGCTTCCACTATCAGAACGGTTTCCAAACTTGTTAATTCTAGCCCACCTGAAAAATGGGGTATTTTATCTTACTGTCATATTTGCTGTTATATATTCTGATATGATAGTAGAGATAACTATTCACTTACCATACTTTTTAGGAATTTGTGGATTCATGAGGCCTATTCGATGTGCTTCCTTTACAATATCCCATGGAAACTAGAATTGGAACTTTTATAATCAAATGATCAAATGAATTAATTCCATTCTGTGAAATCTTCAATTTGTGCTATGAAAAAGAATAAAACTTATTATCTGCACATTGGAAATTCAAGAAAGGTACTGCATTGAGCTATAGCACAGATTGTTAACGTTTGGGGTCTCGAAGAGTGAAATAAGTACTCTAATAGTGTCGATTACAATCCACGACTTGCTTCTACCTCGATATTTTCATAAACAAATTTAGCGCTGAAATTGTTGAAATCAATGTTTACTTCGCCAGTATTGTCATAATGAGCTGCAACGGGTATGATTTTTTCTTTCGCAAATTTCATTGCAATATCACGATATTCGCGCTGTGTACTCGATAGTTCTGAAAAAACATAAAAATAGACATTACGCCTGTTGTCTATGGTTGAACACCTAATTCGAAGTATCAAAAGCGACGAAAACACGAGCAGGTTGGGTAATAGAAATTTCGAGATGAATGATCAATCAATTCACTATAAATGAATAATTATGAATAAAAGTCAGACCAAATGAAACGAATCGACTTCGGAACTGGACACTGCAGTATTGTAGCTTTTGCAGCACGCATCTCGAAAACATCATAAAGTATTCTGAAAATACAATGCTTCTCTTAAAAAGGTCTCTACCAGATGCTGCGGAGATAAATTTTATTTTTTTGAAAGGAAAGAGAATTTTGTTTACCGAAATTTGCTTGCTTTCAAGGAAACTAATTTGATTGCAATTCTGCTTCTTCATAGAAGATAAAGAAAAGAAGAAGTTCCCAAAATCAAAAATTTTTTTCGAAATCCAGAGATAAATTTGGAATTTACCCTGCTAAACCGATGTGCTTGAAAATGTGGGAAAAATGATATCGACCGTGAAAAATTAAAAAAAAAATGCATTTGACAGCTCGAATTAGCTATGCGAATGAGAAAAATGATCGTTAAAAATATTTTATTAAACCATTCGAGGATCGCGTTATTCAAATATTTTTATAACATTTACTTTAGCATGAATGCAGCACCATGTATAACATTATTCATTAATGCACGTTACTATTATCATTTGTGGAACTAATTTCAGAAAGATGAATTTTGGTATTTTAAGATCAGAATTAGTCACAGTACTGATCGGAAATGATAAATTTCTCAAAATAAGGAATTATCAATTCACATAAATGCGTAAATTTTTTCTCAATAAGGCCTTTTGTGGCTTCATTTTAGGAATTCGTCGTAATTAAAGTTCCTCAACCCTCGAATCGTATAATAAAAGTTTCAGGTCCAGTTAAGCTCCATCCCTTTATATCACGTAAGGATGCTCGTAGTTCCGGTCTCTCGAATTCGCGCAGTTAACTTCCGAGCAATAATAATCCTTTGGATCTGGCTGGTGCCTTCATAAATTTGCAGTATTTTTGCATCACGCATTAACTTCTCCACTGGATATTCAGTATTGAATCCGTTTCCTATAACAATTAATG